CGCCAGGAGTGTGTTCCTGACGAGCGGCTGCATCATCGGGGCCTGCTGTAACATCAACACCTACGAGGTGATCCCCGAGAACACCGTCATCTACGGGGCCGACTGCCTCCGCCGCGTCCAGACCGAGCGGCCGCAGGTGGGTGTGACACGAGCGGGACACACCGTCACCCTCCCGTCTTCCGCAGCGAGGGTGAGGCCGCTGCCTGACCTTCCCTACCTCTCTTTCCAGCCCCAGACGCTCCAGCTGGATTTCCTGATGAAGATCTTGCCAAACTACCATCACTTGAAGAAGACCACCAAGGCCACGTCCACTCCAGTCAAGAGCTGAGCACCTTCTGCTGCCGGTGGCTGAGCTGGAGAGAGGGTTTCGCCTGTGGAGCACTACACGTCCCCGGGAAGCGGCCAGTCTCTGCGTCCCTCATTCCATCTTTGGAAAAAAAGCCTGGTTTTGCTTCTTTGTGTCCTTTATTTATATTCCACTGAGCATCACCCACCAGTTTTGGATCTGTTGCTGCTCGCTGCCAACTCAGTTGTACCTGCTTTGTTTTGGGAATAAAACCTCACCTGCTTTTCTTGTCAAGGAGGGGGACTGCAGGCCTTTTGGGGTGGGGTAACGCCGCAGGGGTGCAGTGTCCTGGCCTCCTCCCGCTCCTTCCGCAGGCTGCCGGCAGAGGGAGATGGGCCCGCGCCGGGAGGGAGCTGGGCTCCTGGGAGGAAGGGGTGTCCTGGCCCTGCACCCCCAAACCCGTGTGGATCATGGGGTGCAAAAGGCTCCAGGATGGCTGCCTGTCTCTCTCCCCAGTCCCCAAAAGTTGCCTCCCACTCGGCTTCCCTCTCGGAGGGGTCCAGAGCGGTGCTGAAGCTCCGCCGCTCGTCAGCCGTTCCGGTGAGCTTCGTGTTCACACTTCCCAGCTGGCCCCCGAGACTCCCCAGGGATGTTTTTCACAACTTCCCCTTCTATCCTGGTACAACACAGCCCAACGTTTTACTTCGGCCGGGAGGAAATTGATGCTGGAGCAGAAATTCCTGTAGGAAAAGGAGGGGGAGAGGG